ATGGTGAGGAGTGTTGTTAAAGTAGGTTACTGTCCTCTAAGATTCTCATTCAGGAAGTTGGGGGTGGGGCTGAAAGTTTTGCATTTTTAAACAGCCCAGGCAATGTGGGTCCAGGAACTGCACTTTGAGATAAAACCACTGGGTTAGGTAAATGCTATCTTTGTATCTTAATACACAGAGGTTTCCAGACCTGGCTGAACACTGGAATCATCTGAGGACCTTTTCAAAAATGATCTCTGCCTCCTCTAACAAAGTGCTGATTTAATTAGTCTACCATGGTAACCAGGTGCCGGTATGCTTTAACAACTCTGTAGGTGATCCTAGTATGGAGCCAGGGTTGAGAACCACTGGTAGAGACTAGTAATGAGGACAAGACTCTTCCTTTGTTGGCCAGGCTGGTCTCAAACTCCTGGGCTCAAGAGATCTACCTGCCTTGGCCTCCCAAAGTGCTGGGATTACAAGCATGAGCCACCATATCCAGCCACTCTGAACTTTTGTGGTTTTTCTGTTTTTTGAGACAGGGACTCACTCTGTCACCCAGGCTGGAGTGCAGTGGCATGATCACAACTCTCTGCAGCCTCAATCTCCTGGGCTCAAGCGATTCTCCCGCCTCAGCTTCCAGAGTAGCTAGAACTACAGGTATGTGCCACCAGGCCCATCTAATTTTTTTTTTTTTTTGTAGAGAGGGAGCCTTCCTATGTTGCCCAGGCTGGTCTTGAAGTCCTGGGCTCAAGTGGTCTTCTTGCCTCAGTCTCCCAAAGTGCTGAGATTACAGGTGTGAGCCACAGCACCCGGGGCAGATCTCAACTTATAATCAGCCTTTTGGTCCTTCTATCTTAAACACCAGCAACCAAAACAAAGCTACTTAACATGATAGGGATCAAAATAAAAATAGAAGGAAAAAAAAGGAACTTGGAAACAAGAAGACTATAAATCTCATCTTCTGAGAAATAAATTACATCCATGAACTGAGAATAGAATGCTAGAAAAAGGAAACATGCAAATTACAAGAGCTTAAAGAAATTAAAAAGAAGGCCGGCTGAGATTACGGTGGCCCACACCTGTAATCTCAGCACTTTGGGAGGCCAAAGCAGGCGGATCACCTGAGGTTGGGAGCTCGAGACCTGCCTAACCAACATGGAGAAACCCTGTCTCTACTAAAAATACAAAAATTAGCCAGGCATGGTGGTGCATACCTGTTATCCCAGCTACTCGGGAGGCTGAGGCAGGAGAATCGCTTGAACCCAGGAGGCAGAGGTTGTGGTGAACTGAGACTGGGCCACTGCACTCCAACCTGGGTGATAGTGTGAAACTCCACCTCAAAAAAAAAAAAAAAAAGAAAGAAAGAATCATTTGGGGATCTCATTGAACACATCTGAATTCTGGGCTGGGGCCAGAGATACTGCATTTTTCACAATCTTTCACCAGAGGCCAGTGCTGCTGGTCCTTAAACCACACTTTTAGTAGCAAGTGTACTACATGACTGAGCTGTGAACAGAATGTATATAATGGAAACTCTGAATAGTGGTTAAATTATGAAATATATTGGTAGACTGGGAAGACAGGAAGACAGGAACTATGCAAGCATATGGTAGAGAAAGAAAACTAAATCCTCTTCTTCTACAGATGGAAGTTAATGCCTAAAACAGAAACACACTATTAAAACTAGCTGGCTTTTAAAATTATATATAATTTTGATAACAGATTCCTTAAGAAGTGAGTACAGGATGTGAACACAGTTCATAAATACAAAAAGCACTTCAACATCTACATTATGATTCCCTTTTTCAGCTAGGTGTGGTGGCATGCACCTCTAGTCCCAGCCACTTGAGAGGCTTGCTTCAGCCCAGGAGTATGAGAACAGCCTGGGTGAAATCATGCAGTGGCACGATTTCAGCTCACTGCAACCTCCATTTCCCAGGGTTCAAGTGATTCTCCTGCCTCAGCCACCCGAGTAGCTGGGATTACAGGTGCCTGCCACTGCACCCGGCTAATTTATGTAGTTTTTAGTAAAAATGGGGTTTCACCATGTTGGCCCCAGGCTGGTCTTGACCTACTGACTTCGTGATACACCACGCCTGGCGAATTTCTATTCATTTTTTAAGTTACCCAGTCTGTGGTGTTCTGTTACAGCAACATAAAACACTAAGATTTCAGAATTATTGCTGTAACAATATATTGCCGTTTCTTCACATTACTGCAATTGGTGCAATCAGTGAACTTTTTTTTTTTTTTTTTTTGCCAGTTGTTAAGTGAAAACTGTAATCTTTTTAAAACAGACAAAAAAATTTTTTTTGAATCAGGTCTCTTTTTTCCACCCAGGCTAAAGTGCAGTGGCACAATCACGGCTCAGTGCAGCCTCAACCTCCCAGCCTCAAGTGATCCTCCCACCTCAGCCTCCTGAGTATAAAAGTTTGTAATTAAAAAAAATCTTTTTAGAGGCCAGGTGTGGTGTGGCTCATGCCTATAATCTCAGCAATTTGGGAGGCCAAGGCGAGCAGATCATGTGCAGTCAGGAGTTCGACACCAGCCTGGCAAACATGGTGAAACCCTGTCTCTACTAAAAATACAAAATTAGCCAGGCGTGGTGGTGATGCTTGAAATTGGGTGGCAAAGATTGCAGTGAGCTGAGATCATGCCACTGCACACCAGCCTGGGCAATGTGTATTTGGCTCATGATTAGGAGCTGGGAAATCCAAGAGCATGGCACAGTATATGGCAAGGGTCTTTGATGCTGCGTGATCCCATGGTGGAAGGTGAGAGGACAAAGAGGGTGTGCTCAGGAGAGCAAAAGAAAAATTTGGCTGAACTCCATTTTATAACAAACCCACTCCTGAGATAGTAACATTAATCCATTCCTGAGGGCAGAGCCACCATGGCCCAATCACCTCCCAAATGTTCCACCTCTCTATAACATCACAATGGCAATTAAATTTCAACATGCATTTTGGAGGGGACATTCAAAATATAGCACTGACAATCCTTATTGCCCCCAAACTAAACCAATTCCAGATTTCAACCATCTTTCTGTGACAAATCTTTTAAGTTGGCTACCACAGTATACTTTTTTTTTTTGAGACAGGGTCCAGCTCTGCTGAGGTGAGTGGAATAGCATGATCAGGGCTCACTGCAGCCTCACCTCCAGAGCTCGAACAATCCTCCCACCTCAGCCTCCCAAGTAGCTAAGACTATAGGCAAGTACCACCATGCCCAGCTAATTCTTCTATTTTTTGTAAAGACAGAGTCTCACTATGGTGCCCAGGTTGGTCTCAAATTCCTGGACTCCAGTGATCCTCCTGCCTCAGCCTCCCAAGGTGCCGGGATTACAGGTGTGAACCACTGTACCTGGCCCAGTATGCGTTCTCAACTACTTTCTTCCTTAGCTGCCTTGGCTGTCAGGACTGAAAAAGCTATGTAGTCACCCCTCATCTGTGGTTTCACTTCTGTTGTTTCAGTTACCTTGGTCCCAAAACAGGTGAGTACAGCACAATATTTTGAGAGACTGACAATTTCCACATACCTTTTATTACAGTATATTGTTATAATTGTTCTAATTTTATTGTTAATCTGTTACTGTGTCCAATTTATAAACTTTATCATAGGTATGTATTAACCCATTCTCACGCTGCTATGAAGAAATATCCAAAACTGGGCAATTTTTAAAGGAAACAGGTTTAATTGACTCACGGTTCCGCATTGCTGGGGAGGCCTCAGGAAACTTACAAACATGGCAGAAGGCAAAGGGGAAGCAGGCACCTTCACAGGGCGGCAAGATGGAGTGACTGCAAGCAGGGGAAATGCCAGGCACTTATAAAACCAACAGATCTTATAAGACTCATTATCTCAAGAACAGCACAGGGGAAATTGCCCCCATGATCCAAGTATCTCCACCTAGTCCCACCCTTAACACATAGGGATTTGGGGATTATAATTCAAGATGAGATTTTGGGTGGGGCCGCAGATAACCATATCAGGTATATATGAATAGGCAAAAACATAGTATATATATGGTTCAGTACTATCTGCTGTTTCAGGGATCCACTCAGAGTCTTGGAATGCATCCCCCAAGGATAAGGAGGACTGCTGTGTTCACTTTCTCAGCCTCCTTTGCAGCTAGTGATGGACGTGTCACAGTTCTCAACAGCGAAACTAAGTGAAAGCCTGCTGGGAGGAATTCTGAGAAATCTCATGCCTATGGTCTCAGCTACTTGGGAGGCTGAGGTGGGAGAACTACTTGCCAGAAGTGGCTGGCACAGCTACCTTTACTTCCTGCCTTGCACTCATGTAAATACTAGCCCTTTTACAAGCAGGAACAACAATCATAAAGGTGTTAGAAATATGTCATGAACAGTAGAGCGGAAAAATACAAAAAAGGCATCACTGAGAGCTAAACCAACAACCACAGCAACCTCACTTGGATTTAACATATGAGACAAAAATCTCCTGCTTAAGTCCCTCATTGTTACACAGCAAATACATTCCCTTGTTGTGTTACACAGTCAAACACACCCACTTTCTCAAAGAAGGCTGCTCTGAATTATGTTTTACACATACTCCCCTCTCCCCAGGATTTATTTGTAAGTCAAATATGTAAACTCTTATACTATTATGTTCACTATAAAACAGAAATTGTTAAGAATTAAAAAAAAAAGTCAACAGGCCAGCTGGCTCATGCCTGTAATCCCAGCACTTTGGGAGGCCGAGGCAGGCAGATCAACTAGGTCAGGAGTTCAAGACCAGCCTGACCAACACAGAGAAACCCCTTCTCTACTAAAAATACAAAAGTAGCTGGGCGTGGTGGCACATGCCTGTAATCCCAGCTACTAGGGAGGCTGAGGCAGAAGAATCACTTGAACCTGAACCTGGGATGCGGAGGTTGTCGTGAGCTGAGATTGCGCCACTGCACTCCAGCCTGGGCAACAAGAGTGAAACTCTATCTCAAAAAAAACAAACAAACAAACAAACAAAAAAAAACCACACACACACACAACACACACTTAAAGAAAATGGAATTTACTGAAAATAAGAGGTAGCTTGCAGAATTCAAGGAAAAGCCAAACCAGGCCTCAGAAAGAACAGCAATCAGGATAGCTCAAAATCACTACTTTCAGAAACTGCTCTGAAATAAATTCAGAAGCACCAATCCAATTTAGTTTCTTGAAGGAAAGTGTACCTCAAGGTGCTGAAGTACAGTTAATTTTAGAACTCCCATGAAAATCATGTTCTTAAACCTACAAAATAAGCAAATTTAAAGCTTAAAATCCAGGACTTTCCATGTCAAAACAAGAATTGAACAATTCGATTACAGTAACAGATTAAAATACGATCTACAGACTGGCTTTTTACAGACTCCCCGGTTCCCCACCCACAAGAGGACCTACCACTTTCTTCTAGTTTTAGACTCACACTATGGAAACTTTCACTACATATTTTATTCTTAATTACCTCTCCTCTCCTAGCATTCATTCATAAGCAAAAGTTGCAAAAGTCAGTTTCAAATTTTATTTCATTAACTTAAAAGGTGGACAAAATGTTTATTTTAAATCGAATTGAAATTTATCTGAAACAAGTAACTCATTTCAAGTAACTTATTGTACAGTCCTTTGTCCATTTAAAAATATTCTTTCTTCCAAAAAAGCTGCATTGAAAGACAAAAAAATTCTTTTATACGGCATAAAAGCGAGATGCAAACTTCTGATGTAAATGTTTCACTGTCAACTCCGATGATAAAGATGAGAGGCACAAGCGTTCACAGTTCAGTTAAATGATCCAAACAAAAAGCTTCTGTTTCCCTCTGATACAAATCAGAAGTCTCCATTCATGTCTCTTACAGTAGTACCACATACTTGATGCTGATACTAGGTTACTTCTTTTTCTTTCCTTTCCCTTTTTTACTTCCCTCTCCTTGTTGAAGACTTTGGTCAGCACCTCCTGCTTTTTGTGTCCTTGTTTTTAGTTTAGGTATCATTTCTGCTGCATACAACATTACTGACTTACCTAGGAACCAGAAGTTAGGCTTAGTGTATAATCTGAGAAATAAGACATAAAAAGTCATCAACTTGAATATCACAAAGTGTAAGAAACTATCACATCAAGAAAATGGAAAGTATGTTTTTTAAAAAAATGAAAAATCAAATGACTGAAGACACTGACTAGCTCAAGCTGGGGGAAATGTACTGAGAGTGAGAATAATGCTGAAAATATTTAAATGAATCATATCAAAAGGCAAACATAAGTATGAAAAAAAAATTTTGGTCTTGGTCCTAGCAATTAGCTTGAAGATCTAAGGAGTATCCAAATACACCTCAGGTAGGAAACAGAGTCAGAATATCATTGTCTCTTAAGACACTGAAACACAGGGTTTTCTCAGACTTACAACAAAAAAACAGTATCATCAAGTCACAAGAGATCCGACGGGTAAGATCAGATGATCTACACTTACATGCATTCCTGCTCTGCATAACGACAACCAGCTGCCTTCACCCAAAACAGACTAAGCTCCTCAGCTCTGCTTTCTTTTTACTATTTTACTTGGGTCTTACTGGAAATAGGAAGTGACATGTTCTCACCACAATTTCTACCCCTATTTTATCTACTAGTTAATTACAAGTTTTTGTTTGTTTTTGTTTTTTTGAGATATAATATAGGAAAATGTTAAGGAGGAGAAAAAACGTATTAGAATATACTATCACTCCTTAGTCACAACCTGAAGCATCTAGCAATACCTACCAATCCTGATGAGTTTTAGTATATAAAAAAAATCTATTTTAGGCTGAGCCCAGTGTACCATGTCTGTCATCTCGGCTCTTTGGGAGGCTGAGGCAGGAGGATCACTTGTGTCCACGAGTTTGAGACTGGCTTAGGAAACATAGCAAAACCCCATCTCTAGAAAAAATAAAAAATCATGCGTCTGTATTCTCAGCTACCTGGGAGGCTGAGGTGCGAGGGTTGCTTGAGCCCAAGAGGTCAAGACTGCAGTGTGTTAGCTGAGCGTGGTGGCTCACGCCAACACTTTGGGAGGCCGAGGTGGGCAGATCACCTGAGGTCAGGAGTTCGAGATCAGCTTGACCAAGATAGAGAAACTCCATCTCTACTAAAAATAAAAAATTCGCCGGGTATGGTGGCTCATGCCTATAATCCCAGCTACTCGGGAGGCTGAGGCCGAAGAATCACTTGAACCTGGGAGGCAGAGGTTGCGGTGAGCCAAGATCACACCATTGCACTGTAGCCTAGGCAACAAGAGCGAAACTCTGTCTCAAAAAAAAAAAAGAAAAAGACTGCAGTGTGCCATAATCGTGCCACTGCACTCAACCTGGATGACAGAGTGAGCCCTTGTCTTTAAAAATAAAAGTTCAAACATGCTGGCTGGGCATGGTGGCTAATGCCTGTAATCTCAGCATTCTGGGATCTCCTCAAGATGGGAAGACTGCTTGAGGCCAGGAGTTTGAAATTAGACTGGGCAACATAGTGAGACCCTTGTCTCTCTATTTTAAAAAAATCAGGCCGGGTGCAGTGGCTCATGCCTGTAATCCCAGCACTCCGGGAGGCCAAGGTGGGCAGATCACGAGGTCAAGATATCGAGATCATCCTGGCCAACATGGTGAAACTCCATCTCTACCCAAAATACAAAAGTTAGCTGGGTGTGGTGGCACATGCCTGTAGTCCCAGCTACTCGGGAGGCTGAGGCAGGAGAATCACTTGAACCAGGGAGTCGGGGGTTGCAGTAAGCCAAGATCATACCACTGCACTCCAGCCAGAGCGAGACTCTGTCTCAAAAACAAACAAAAAAAAAAACAAAAAAATCAAACAAGTTGTCAGTTTGTCTGACAGTTTCACTGTTTTTAAGTAAATTTAATGGGAGAGTTCAACTAAACTGAGGGGATTATTAAAATGAAAGAAAAAATTAATAGCTCTGTTTTAAAAAATTAAAATTCTCAGAGATGAAAATTCAGCAAAATAAACAACATGTAAACAAAAACTTATCTTCCTAATACTCAGAACTAACATTCTGTTATACTGATGTCAGTTTGGTTACTGTTTTTCATGAAATAAAACACTAGAGATGACGCAACAGTCTTCTATGACCATCAATCCCTGTGTTTCTACTCTCTATCCTGCTCACCATTAGGTGACTACTGTCTTAAGAGTGAGTGTTTCCTTACAGAGCATTTCAAAAAAATACCAATAAGCAACATTACATATGCATCTATCAATAAATAGTAATATTTTGTATTTAAATTTACCTAAGTGGTACCATATTATGCATATCTCTTGCTTTTTTCAGTCAATATTGCTTTTTAGATTTATTAATGATAGAATAATTAGATATTAACAGACCTCAAGGACCTCTAGGATCTGAAATGGCAATTAATGTTCAACAACTTAATAATTTTATATTCTTAACCTGGGAGCAATGACAGACTTCCAGAGGTTTCTAAAATGTTCACACAACAATCTTTTGGAAAAATGTTTAGTGGGTCTCATTACATTTTCAAAGAGGTCGTTCACCTCAAAGAAATTAGAACTACTGCTTCTCTCCATGAGCAGTAGTCCTGTTTTTAAATTAATCTTCAGAATGCAAACTGTGACTTTCACCTTTCAGTTTTAGAACCTTTTCTGTGTTGCATAGGAGAAACCTATCCCTGAGCCCCACTGATTCATTTAAAAAGCTTACGTGATGGGAACTGCACAAGGCAGAGGCTGCCATCTTCCTGTTTGAGCTGGACCCGGACTCTGCCTCTGTATTGGACATCACGATTCCATTCTCTAGAGTACATTTTATTTTTCTAACATAAACGAAACAAAAGAAAAACAGGGCTTAAGAAAGTTATTACATCAATTAGATGAGTATGGAAAATAATGAAGAACCACGTCATACCTCAAGAAATACGTTAAGTCCAACTGCTGAACATACATCTTGAATCTCTGTAGCTGTAGGATTTTCAACAGCCTGAACAGTTAAAAATATAAACACTAAATATATTTGCTTTAAGTGGACACTGCCATAATGTTGGGTAAATAATTTCAAATACTATAATCAAACAAGTACCAAAACCCTAGGTTTCTTTTTTCATTAAGTACAGATGCTTCCACTGTAATTTTAAAAATTCCTAGGAATAACACTAATGCATACGTGTGTGCCCATCTCCCCTCCAACAGAACATAAACTTCTGAGGGCACGGGCTTTGTTTTGTTAACCAGTGTATTCCCCAGCACCTAGCATGGTACTCTGAACATAGTAGGCGCTCAATGATTACTGACTGCTTAAACAATTACACATACAAACACTTTAGAAAACTGCTAGTATCTACTAAAGCTGAATATATGCATTGTTTATGGCCCTGCAATTCCATTCCCAGATGCGTTCTACAAAATATGTTCACTAAAAGACAACTATTTATAATAGCCTCAAACTATTAATAGAAATAATCCAATTTTCCATCCAGAGTAGAAAGGGCCAGGTGTAGTGGCTCACAACTGTAATCCCAGCACTTTGGGAGGCCAAGGTAGGCAGATCACTTCAGTTCAGGAGTTTGAGACCAGCCTGGGCAACATGGAGAAATCCCATTGCTGCAAAAAAATACAAAAATAGCCGGACGTGGTGGCATGTGCCTGTAGTCCCAGCTACTCGGAAGGCTGAGGTTGGAGGATGGCTTGCGTCCGGGAGGTGGAGCCTGCAGTGCGCTGAGACTATACTGCCGCACTTCAGCCTGGGTGACAGAGCCAGACCCTGTCTCTTAAAAAAAACAAAAAAGAAGGTAGAAAAGACTCTGGTGTATTCACACAATGCAATACTATAGAGGAGACAGGGCAGTAGTTTTCAGTAGGGAAATTCTGTCCTCAGGCTCCCTACCCCTACACACACGCAAAAGACATCTAGCAACGCTTGGAGACATTTTTGATAGTCACAATTAGGGAATGGGGGTTGGAGAAGGATAGTGGGTAGAAGCCAGGGATACTGCTGAACATCTTAAAATGCACATAACAACCCCCAGCAACAATTATCTAGCTCAAACTGGCAATGGTGCTGCTACTGACAAACTCTGTTACAGAGCAATGAAAATTCAACTACATTCTAATATGTAGATAAATCTCGTAAGCTTAAAGTTCAGTGAAAAAAAAGATACAAAAGTACATACTGTGAAATTCCGTTTACAGAAAAGTGAAAAATAAGCAAAAGTAACCTATGGTGTCAAAGTCATGACAGTGGTCATCCTGGTATTTTTGAGCATATGCGGACGCGACAGTGACTGGGAGGGAACATAACGCAATCTTCCTGGATGCTTATAATGTTTTCTTTTTTGAGTGCTTGTTACCACACAGATGTACTCATCACGTGAGAATTCACTGCATCAAACCTAGGTGCCTTAAATCTGTCATATTACAAAATACAAATTACATTTTAATAAAACTCAACAGGACTGAACTTTCTGCAAGTCTTCACATACTTAAAAAAATCTCAACTACATTCTGAACATTGTTAATATATCGTACAATGTCATAATTGTGATTTCCTGTATCAAGGGGAACAATGTCATAACTTCGTTTTAAAAAAACATGTAAACTCTACAGACTCTGCCCCCACTTCTTTACAAACACAGGCTCATTAAGAGCCATTAAAAAAAAAATTCCTTCAGCTATGAATTAATGCCTTTCTGGTTTCACCAACACTAAGGAACGCACCCCAATTCTTGGCTGTCGTTCTCCTCAAGCCCGAAATAAATGCAATGAAGAGAACCCCCTGTGGCTCTAACAAGATGTCGTGGCCCAACCAGGATGACACCCCCCATTCCCTCGAGGACCAAGGAGCCAGCCATCTGCTTACCTTACTTATGGGGATTCGCCTTCCCTCTGCGATGGTCTTCTTATTATTTAAATAAGCAGGATAGATACAAATAAACCTGCCATAGACAATAACATAAGTGGTATCACTAGAGCAGTAAGAGGCAGGAGAAGAGGGTCGGGTGGCAGGAAACCGAAGGCCAATTCATGCTGAGTAGATATCAGATGGCTACTCCCTTTTCAAACCCTTCTTTTTCTGCGTGGCTGCTGAAAAATCAAACTACCTTGGAAAGGTCCCCTCCAGCAACCAATCAGACTGGCTGCAGGCCTACTCCTCATTCTGAGTGATCCCCCTTCCTCAACCAATCAGACTGGCACTGGTCAATAGGAAACCTCTACAGAGTATTTAAATCCCAGAAAATTCCGTAACCAACAGCTCTTGGGCGGCTTGCTGGAGCCTGCTTCCACCCTGTGGAGTGTACTTTTGTTTAAAATAAATCTGCTTTCGCTGCCTTGCTTTGTGTGTTTTGTTCAATTTCTTATTCAAAACGTCAAGAACCTGGACAACTACACTCAACGGATAACAAGTATTTTCAAAAATACATTCTTTCGGTACGTGGTAGGCGAGGTCATCATCATTGCTGGTACACCTATGCTATTATTTGCTTAATGTTTTTTCTTTAAATTACCTCCCTTTTACTTAATTAAAAATAAACTTTATCCACTACCTTGGAAGGAAAAAAACCACACGAATAGAAACAAAACAACCTGGGTAAATGTTACATTAGACACAGCAGCCTGTTAAAAGTTCCTGAGAATGGGTCCGCCCTCTCATATAAAAAGTGTCCGAGGTATTAAAAACTTCAAAATTTCACAAATGAGCCTTTCTGAACGCAACAATAATTAAAAAGAACACATTTCTCACACTGAGATTATGTTACTTAATATTATGTCCACGTAGCACCCAAAATCCTTGTCTCGCGTACAGGTAAACACTAGGCTACCTACGGTAGGAATTTCAGGAGCCCTGCGAAGGGCCTGGTGGCTGCTGCAGGATTCTCACAAAAATCAGCCGCCAAGGAGACCCGCGGAGCCCGTCCAGGGCGAGCTGGATCAGCTAGGCCATTCTAGAGGCCGCGGAGCGGAGAAGGGCGGTGTAAAACTCGCGGCACCACAGCAAGCCCCTTCCTTTCTGAGGACCCACCTACCCAGAACCCACCTGTCCTGGTCCGCCGGGGACCGCGCTGCAGCGCAAGCCATCTTCACAAGAGTCTAAACAACAGCCCAGGAACCGTACTTGAAAATCCGGGAGGAACTCAGCTCGGCGTTTCCGAGACAGCCCGCTTTTCCGCCGGAAGTCCTGCCCACCAAATGGTTCCGCGTCCGCGATTTCTCACCGCCTGTTTGTTCCGGCACCTGTCGCTCGGCGCCAAGATCTCTAGTCTCTGACGTGGCGCGAAGACTTCCCTCTCGCGAGAGGATCATGAAAGCTTCTCATTGCTTTCCCAAATCTCGCTGGGGAGACCAGGTGGGGCGCATGCACGGCCGCTGAAATGGGTTTAACTTCGACCTTCCCTCCTTTCCAGTTTTTCAGCAAGTATGGGTGATACTAGCTACCCTCTGTTAAGGGGCGAAGACTGTGCAACGAGGGGAATCTGTTTGGTTCAGGATGTTAGAGCAGGCAAGGAAATACTCCTTATGTTTAATTTTTATCCGTTCATGGGCCCTAGAACTTGCTTTCAGTTTGGCAAAATGGATTTTTATAGTGGTAGAACTAGCAAAGTTATAGACGTTGTGTTTCAGTGTGCTGTGTGTTAGAAACTTCAGTGAGCTGTGTGTTAGGCCGGGTGCGGTGGCTCATGCCTGTAATCCCAGCACTTTGGGAGACTGAGGCAGGCGGATCGTAAGGTCAGGAGTTCGAGAGCAGCCTGGCCAACGTGGTGAAACCCCGTCTCTACTAAAAATGCAAAAACTAGCGGAGTGTGGTGGCACACCTGTAATCCCAGCTACTAGGGAGGCTGAGTCGGGAGAATCACTTGAACCCGGGAGTTGGAGGTTGCAGTGAGCTGAGATCACACCACTGCACTCCAGCCTGGGTAACAGAGCAAGACTCCGTCTCGGGAAAACAAAACAAAACTATTCAGCTTTTAAAACTTCTGAAGGATACTGTGTGCCATCACTACGGGCATACTTCATTATTGCACTTCGCTTTGCTGCCACAAGTAGATACAGCCTTTTTACAAATGGAAGGTTTTTGGCAAATCCGCCAGAGGAAGTCTCTTGGTGCCGTTTTTTCCAGCAGCATACGCTTTGTGTCACATATGGTAATTCTTGCAATATTTCAAACCTTTTCATTATTTCTGTTACGGTGATCGGTAATCAGTGATGTTTGCTGTTACTATTATAATAGTTTTAAGGCCGGGCGCAGTGGCTCACGCCTGTAATCCCAACACTTTGGGAGGCTAAGGCAGGTGATCATGAGGTCGGGAGATAGACACCTTCTTGGCTAACATGGTGAAACCCCATCTCTACTAATATACAAAAAATAAGCCGGGCATGGTGGCGCAGGCCTGTAGTCCCAGCTACTTGGGAGGCAGGGGAATCGCTTGAACCCTGGAGGTGGAGGTTGCAGTAAGCCAAGATCGCGCCACTGCACTCCAGCCTGGCGACAGTGCAGGACTCTGTCTCAAAAAATAATAATAAGTTTTGGGGCACCATGAACCGTGCCCAGATAAGATGGGGGAACTTAATGGATAAACGTTGTCTTTGTTTTAACTGTTTGACCAACTGGCCATTTCCCATCTCTTTCCCTTTCCTGCAGTCCCTATTCCCTGAGACACAACAATGTTGAAATTAGGCCAATTAATAACCCTACAATGGCCTCTAAGTGTTAAAGTGAAAGGAAGAGTCACATGTCTCACTTTCAGTCAAAAGATGGAAACGATTAAGCTTAGTGAGGAAGGCATATGTAAGCCAAGATGGGCTGAAAGCTAGGCCTCTTGGCACCTAACAGCCAAGTTGTAAATACAAAGACAAAATTCTTGAAGGAATTAAAAGGAAATTACTTCAATAAACACACAGATGATCAGAAAGCAAAACTTTATTGCTGATATGGAGAAAGTTTTAGGTGTTTGGACAGAAGATCCAACCAGCCACAACATTCCTTTAACCCGAAGCCTAATCCGAGCAAGGCCCTAACTCCCTTCAATTCTATGAAGGCTGAGAAAGGTTAGTAAGCTTTCTCAGCTTACTAAGGGAAGCTAGTAGAGGGTGGTTCAGGAGGTTTAAGAAAGTATCCATGTCCATAACATATAACATGAAAGTGCAAGGTGAAGCAGCAAGTGCTGATAGAGAAGCTGCAGCAAGTTATCCAGAAAATGTAGCTAATATCATTGATGATGATCAATGATTACCTAATATTATTTAGTGGCTACACTAAACAACAGGTTTTTCAATGTAGACAAAACAGCCTTCTATGGGAAAAAGATGCCGTCTAGGACGTAGCACCCAAAATCCTTGTCTCTCTGAGAGAAGAAGTCAATGTCTGGCTTCAAAGCTGCCCCATTTAGTGGCTACACTGAACAGATTTTTCAATGTAGACAAAACAGCCTTCTGTTGGGAAAAGATACCTTCTAGGAAGTAGCACTCAAAATCCTTGTCTCTTTAATAGAAGTCAGTGCCTGGCTTCAGAGCTGCTGAGGACAGGCTGATTGTCTTGTTAGGGAGTAATGCAGTTGGTGACTTTAAGTTGAAGCTAATGGATATTTACTATACCAAAAATCCTACAGCCCCTAAGAATGATGCTAAATCAACTCTGCCTGTGTTCTTTAAATGGAACAACAAAGCCTGGATGATAGTACATCTGTTTACAGCATGCTTTACTGAATTATTTTTGAGACAAGGTCTCGCTCTGTTACCCAGGCTGGCATGCAGTGGCCCTATCACATCTCATTGCAGCCTTGACCTCCCACACTCAAGTAGTCCTCCCACACAAGCCTCCTGAGTAGCTGGGACTATGGGCTCATGCCACCATGCCTGGTTGATTTATTTTTATTTTTAGTGGAAACAAGATCTTGCTATGTTGCCTGGGCTGGTCTTGAACTCACGGGGTCAAGCAATCCTCTTGCCTCAGCTTCCCAAAGTACTGGGATTACAGGCATGAACCACCGCCCCCAACCTTTACTGAATATTTTTAAGGCCACTGTTTAAATCAATTGCTCAGAAAAAAAAAAAAAAAAAGAGAGAGTCCTTTCAAAATATTACTGCTCATTGACAATGCACCTAGACCTCTAGACATCTTAAGGCTCTGATGGAGATCTAGAAGGAGATTAATGTTTTCATGCCTGATAACACATCATCCATTCTGCAGTTTGTAGATCAAATAGTAATTTTTATTTTCATCTCTTATTAAGAAATACATTTTGTAAGACTATAGCTGCCAAATAGTGATTCCTCTGATAGATAAGGGCAAGATAAATTGAAAACCTTCTGAAAATGATTCACTATTCTAGATGGTATTAAGAGCATTTGTGATTCATTGGAGGTTAAAATATCAACATGAACAGGCATTTGATTTCAACCCTCTGGGATGATTTTGAGGACTTTAAGACATTAGTGCAGGCAGTAACTGCAGATGTGGTGGAAATAGCAAGAAAACTAGAATTAGAAGTAGAAACTGAAGATGGGACTGAATTGCTACAATTATGATAAAACTTGAATGATGAGGAGTTGCCTCTTATGAATGGGCAAAGAAAGTGGTTTCTTGAGATGAAAACAACTGGTGAATATGTTGTGATCATTGTTGAAATGACATCAGAAGGTTTAGAATAGCATAAACATAGTTGATACAGCAGTGGCAGGGTGTGAGAGGACTGACTCCAATTTTTAAAGAAGTTCTACTATGGGTAAAATACTACCAAACAGCATCACATGCTACAGAGAAATCTATCGTGAAAGGAAGAGTCAGTTGATGTGGCAAAATTCACTGTTGTCTCATTTTAAGAAATTGCCACAACCACTCAAACCTTCAGCAACCATCATCCTGATCAGTCAGCAGACATCAACACCGTGGCAAGACCTTCCGCCAGCAAAAAGATTATGATTTTCCAAAGGCCCAGATGGTTGTTAGCATTTTCAGCAATAAAGTATTTTAAATAAGGTATGTACATTATTTTTCTAGATATAATGCTATTTCACACTTAACAGACTACAGTATAATGTAAACATAACTTTTATATGCACTGAGAAATCAAAAAATTGTATGACTTGATTTATTATGATATTTGCTTTATTGTGGTGGTCTGGAACCAAACCTGTAACATCTCTGAGGTATGCCTATATATTTTTGCGTAACTTAGATTGATTGCAAAATAGTATTTCAGCATCTCCATTCAACTAAACCCACCTTCGTTCCTATTTTAATAATGGATGTTTATTCCACACCTACAAGACATGCTTCAAAAAGCCAGGCAAAGTGAGATAGATTTTCTCTTTTACAGATAAAAAAGCAGACAAACTGAAAAACCAAACTCAACCAACAAAAATCTTCATGAAAGTTTGAGTCTCAGTGAGGTTAAATAATTAGCCCGTTCATGCTAATAATGGCTGAGCATATAGATGCTCAGCTAGTCTGACTGGAAGCCCCTGACTTCCTTCATGTTCTCATTTATGTCTCTCAATCTTCCTTGTAGTTTTTTTTTTTTTTTTTTTTTTTAGCACAAAATTAAGTTTGCTCCTGATGTAAGTAAGTAACGTTTACTTATTTCTAAAGCGTATATGATTCCTGCAAAAACAGTGTCATGCAATAACCTAAAATTGAGGAGTACATTTAGAGATAAAATGAATCCAAATTTTAAAATACATAGTTTTCTTGCTTTAGGATACGCATACACATATTAAAAAGTGAAAAAATGAATGAGGTAGTCTGAGGCTTAATACATGCAAGTAGCCTACTTACCATGGAATTGTTTTTGTAGAGCCATCTAAGTAATTGGAGACAAAAAGGTCAATATTATAATTGCTAGTAACATTTCCTTGTTCATATATACTAAGATAATTAATGACAGAGCTAATATTTTTAGTGTCATTCAATGCCAAATCCACACTCCTATTAAACTCCACACTATTGCTGAGATATTGTACAAGTACAGAGAGGAGGGGTGAGGAAGAGAGAAAGAAGGCAATATTGTTACCACACTGACAATGAAATTTTGAGCCAAATATAAAGTTTTTAAATGTTTATGCTTGTGGAAAGGCAGGTTAAATTAAAGGAGGATGAAGATGGACATGGAAAAATTGTGGAGATGATGAAAGGGCTTTATAGAATTATGGCACTTGTTTTCAAATCTTATTTTTATCAAACTGTCTTCCTTTTCTTCATACAAACATGCCACTAAATTCAACTTATCAACCTTGATTGAGGCTGCTGGCTGGAGGT